TATATTAAAAAACAGAAGTCAAAATATTTTGAAATTATGAAATATCACAGTTTTACTCAGTAAAGATAGGAAGTCTGCAGATAAAATCTAAAACAGGAATAGGAACACATTATTAATAATTATATGCAGCTGCACTACTGAAGATATTTATGAAATTGTTTTTATTTGTGCTTTACTAGACTGATTTACTAAGCCTTCAAGTTCATAGAACATAATTGTATTGTAGCTTATACAATGTGCTGTCATTCAGGAATGTTAATAATTTGTCACTAAGCTTTCTTCTCTCTTAGAAATCAGTAATCTAGCTGAAACTCTGAGTGTCTTAATAATATTCTTGTTTAATCTTTAATGATAATACATCCATTTTCTTTGTTCTTAATAAGAGTTTGGTGTCGACATACTGTTTTTCAAATCAATCTTTCTTCCTAAACAAGCAAAGATCTGAATGATTAGGATCCCTTGGTGTGTTTAATACACTTTAAGTTAACCCATTCTTTATTCTTTAGAGGAGAAAAAAAATACAGCCATGTGAGAAAATTCTATCTGTTCCACACAGCACAGCATAAGTAGCAGTTACAAACTAAAATAAAAATATTTTTTTTCATCATGTCATTAAAAACCCCTAAACCCTAGGTATCTAGTCAATGACATCCAAAATCTGGAAGGTGATACAGCTCATGTGCTGAGCATTTGCAGGTTCCATGGATGCCTGCAGAACTGTGAGGTCCTCAACAAACTCCTGTCTAAAGATTTTCTCACCAGTGGATTCTGTTTCTCATTTTTTTTTACAGTTATGAGAACAGAAAGTGGAATTAGGCTGAAAAAACTCTTCTGGTGGGAAAAAATGTGTAAAACATGGATTTAAAATTTTAAAATGTATAAATGAATGGGACATAAGCCTTGAAGTTCTGTTATTGAATACAAATATTTTAGGGTAATTTTATTTGTGGTTTTTCTGGTATTTTTTCTCTTCCAAAATGAAATATTTGGTCCATATTCTTCTGAATTACTCCTAACACTACAGCTAAACTCCAGTGTTTGTTAATAGCCCAATAGTGGGAACTGACATAGAAATCTAGTGCAAGCAGATGCTTAGTAAAGATAGATTTTCGGTTCAGGTTCTCTGGAGGTTAATGCAGATAATGAAATATGATTAAGCAAAAGAGGTTTCTTTATTTCATTTTTAAAATTTTACAATGAGTGACATCAGAACGTTCAAATACATAAAAGGCTGCTTCAGAACAGGAATAATTGGTTCCCTTTACCTGTAGCAGGTAAAATAAAAAGTTACAGGCTTAAATTATTATTAAATCATAGTAAGAAGTATTCAACTCTAAAGGAAGCTTCACAGTGGTGGGATACTAAAGCACTGTACTAGAGGGGGAAATGGTGGAACCTATTGCCTTCCAGCTGTGGTGACCTGAGAGATACCATGGATCTCATTTTGCAGCAGGACAAGAAAGTCCTGCCCAAAAACTTGTCTTGAAGTAGTAGTATTTTATCTTCTTAAATTGTAGAAAGGAATGAAACATATCACTTATTTGGAGTCTGTGCAAAGGATCCCATTGATGTCCAAGACGTTGCATGTTAGAGGGATCTACTTCACTATTTCTTTGTTCCAAGACCAAAGATTTCCTCAGGATGAGGCTTGCCAAGACTGTCATTGCTAAAGTACCTTAAAGGCAGATTAAGTCTAATTTCACTAGAGGGGAGGGTAAAATTCTTCTGTGTATAATTTATTTTATAGCTTTCCTCAAAAGTACAAGAGCAAGAAATTTTTTTTTTTTCTTTCATTCTGCTTCTCACACTGTTTCTTTTCCTGATTGCTGTTTTGCCCACCTCTATATTCTGGGCTTCAAGTTAAGTTTCTCCTCTATAGTTCACTGCACTTGGGCTATGAACAATAAAATCTGAGGTGCATATTTCAGATATCTGGTAGTCTTAGCCAAGGTCCTTCAAAAGTTTTTTATTCTTCTTGCAGAAAACTGCAGAACCAGATTTTCTGTCTTTTTTCTTGTTTCATTGTTCGTACTCATAAGGACAGAGTAAAGAATTTTGTAACACTGAATGCTACTAGCTCTCAAACATTCACCAGTCTAAGGTCAATTTGTCTGAATTTTGAAAAAGAAACTTACTTTCAGAGTGTCATCTGACTTTCCAGTATGTTGGCTGTGTCTTCTATGCTATTTTGAAGGCTGAGAGAAGACCCAGGTGGTCTACTTCCTTTGTTCAGTGATTGGGGGTGGCTTTCAGGCATCCTGTACTTACCTTGCATGTAAGACTTTTTAGATAGAGAAAGGCTTTACTGTCCTCTCCTGCTGTTTCTGAGCCAGCTCTCTTTTCCTTTCCTGCCAAGTGTGTCTGCAGTGGCACTCTGCTAGATTCCTGTTTGTTCTCCCTGCCCCACTTCTCCCATGAGCAGTAGTCCCCAAGATATTTTTTCTGTCTCTATTAATATCTTTGCTAATTGAGATATCTGAAAGTTTAACTTCTGGCAAGTTTTCTTACTTGCAACCCCATATTTTTGACTTCTTCAGTTATGCTGCAGTGAGGATGTTTTTGTGTGGTGAGAGGTGACCTCCCAAGCTTACCAAGCAATTTTGTCTGCCCTTAGCACCTGAGAGCTTCATAAAAAGCCCTGGTCTGTGTCTGCATACCAAGTTCTTGCTGAGAAGGGGCTGTGACATGCTGCTCAGAACTATTTTTCTTGCCTTACTATTTGTTTTGATATCATTGCCTTGAGAAGATGAATATAAAAATAACCCCATTATTAAATGTACTCATTGTAAATATTAGTGCAAAGAGACTGTACGTACATACTACGCTGGAATCAATCCACTCTGTGTCAGGCATTTATTTCTTAGTTCTGTGATCTTGTTTCTGCCTAGTACATTGCTCTTGCCAACATTCAGACTCTGTCTGGCCTTTCAGAGCTATCTTCCAGTAATGTAGGGAAGAACAGGCTTCATCTGCAAAGTGGCACATAAACAAAGTTATTTCTGTACTTACCCAAATCTTGCACACCCTTAATGTACACAAGCTCTTCCTTAAAACTGCAAAGTGTAAGAAGGTATGAATATATAACACTGTATGTAGGTACTGATTGTAGCAATTCATTTATATTGTGAATAATAGCATTTTCCCATCTATTAAAGAAAATTTCCTTATTTTGAATGGTTCCTGTATACGGAGATAGTGTGAAGATGAAAAACTTTAGTCTGCGTCTTAATCCTGTCTCTATCTCCCTGTCCTGTTGTATTTCCCTGTTTTGTGGAGCTCACAAACAGATTGTGAGTTTGATCCCTGCAGGCCATTCATTTTAGGGTTGGATTTGATGATCCATGTGGGTCCCTTCCAATTCAAAGTATTCAGTGATTTTGTGATTCTGTGGGTTTTGAGTTTGTGTGTGAACTGCGAAGGTAAATGTGTGTTTAAGGTAAACATGCTTAAATTAGGAATATCTGAACTCATAACCTAAAGATTTCCACAGTCTTCAATTCCAGTTTGATCTTTTACTTACACTGAGCCAATGTTCACCTATAGAGCACATTTGGTGTTAGTAAAGTGAACCTTAATAATAAGTTAATTCAAGGTGATCACCTTCACTGTGTTCATAAAAGGGGAGTGCACCACAACAGTGGTTAACCTGCTGTAAAACTAAAATGGTGGACTTGTCAAGATAAATTTAAAACGGAAAATAGACACATAGGTTGGTGTTAGGCTGCATATAAAGAGTGTACTTACAAACAGGTAAAAACCCAGAAGTGTTGTATGAGGCAGAGATCCCGCAAAACACTGTAAGGTGTGGTGGGTGGATAGTGTTCATTAATGTAATGATTCAGAATCCGTGAATTGTGATGTGATATGTTTGAAAGAGGTGGCAGAATCTTTTTGGTTTTTTTTGTTTGTTTGTTTGTTTTTTGTTAAAGAACAGAAGATCAGATTTATGTGGTTGCAAATATTTTGTTACTGGGGGGGGGGGGTGAAACTGCAGCAATACATTTTAACTGAGTCTTTTAAATTGGCAATATATGTACCTTTCATTTTGGTGAGCACTTCCAGCCCTCAAAGGAAAAGACATTTTTAAAGCTGTATCCATGTCCTCGCTTCCTCAAAAGTCTTTCACTGTTTTCTGTATAGTCTTGATTTTGAGAATACATAGAAACCTGATACTGCAGCTACTTTTTTATGAAATGTTGCCTCAAGAGGACAGCAGGTTTCAGAGTGTTTGTCCAAGGGTTCTTAAGATAGTGGCTTTAATCCATAAAGCTTTCAGTAATTTGGACCTCACAGTTCTACACAATTAAGAGCATAAGTATTTGGCATTAAGTCCATCTTGATTTTAAAAGGCAGTTCCTCTTATCAGAGAGTTTTCTCTAAGTGAAGGCAGACTCTGCTACTTTACTATCTCCTGGAAACCTGCTTTGCCTATAAGTATGTGACTTTGATATTTTTCTGATAAAGCTGAATGCCTCCCTACCCTCTCTTTCATGTTATTCGAGAGACAATAACAATTTAGTGCAAATGTGTGAACTATTGTGGATTTATTATTGTAGATGGTGAATATTATTATGTGCCCTGTGGGCAGTCAATTGTAGGTGGCATATATTGCAAATTTATATCTTGTCTGCTTAAAACACTATTTGAAATGCCTAGAGACAGGGTTAGCTGCTTAAGTTGTAGCTTCAAATAAATAAATAAATAAATACATTAAATAAATAATTGAAGCAGGCAGTTTCAGATAATAAAGAGAGATGGCTTCTGGGTAGAAAACTCTGTACGTCTTGTAGCAACAGAATCTTTAATAAAGAAGGTGAAATAAAATTCCCAAAGAATTTCTTATCTGCAGATAAAATAAAAAAAGAAAACCCAAGCACCCAAACTATCAGGACATATACTTGGTGAATTAGAATCTTCTTTCTGTATGGTATACAACTGATTACTAGGGAGCATTTTTACCTCTAATTTCTATTTAATAGCCACTGCACTTGTCATTGCAGGTATGGTTACAAAAGTATGGCTACCTTCCACCAAGTGACCCCCGAATGTCGGTGTTGCGCTCTGCAGAAACCATGCAATCAGCTATAGCTGCCATGCAGCAGTTCTATGGCATTAATATGACAGGAAAAGTGGACAGGAACACAATTGAGTAAGTAACCAGTACTGAACTGCTCTTGACTTTTCTGTTTCAAGCAGGGTAAAATAGAACTGGGAAGCAGCAGCATAACTGGAGTATCCAAATAGTGTTGCAGCTTCAGATGAGGAGGTAAATTGTTTCTCTGTTCCTTGCCTTTTCATTTTCTTCAGCTTTTTTATTTCATGGGAGCAGGTCATCACCTGCCTAACTGATGTCTGCCTTTGGGCAAGCGATTGTAAACAAGATATCTCAGGGTTAACTAAAGTAAGGGCCAAAAGGTTATCATTGTGGAAGGCAGAAAACTGGCAAGAATCCACAAAATATATCACAGTTGAAGGAGTCTTGTTTTACTGGAAAATCTTTAGTGTAAACTTCTTTATTCTTATTTATTAAATTTAGCAGACTCCACTGGCCCATTTGTTTAGTGGTTGCTAGTAACAAAAAAACAGTGTGGTGATTTTAACATGCAGTAAAATTGAATTCGTTTTGCATGTGCTTTGTGATTCTGAAGTTGTTTCAGACTCTGTGTCTGACTTTGGTGACAGAATGGACACAGAGAAACTCTGTAAAACAGCTATTTCAGGACACTTTCAAACAACTCTGTACTATGCCAAATTATAAAAATATGCCAAAAAAAAAGAAACTAAACAGAAAACCAGGGACTATTAGTACACAATTAAGAGAACATATCTGGGATTAAGACAGGAGGACCAGGGCAGTAATTATGCCCCTGTACTTCACACTGGTGGAGCCTATCCATGAATCCCCCATTCTATTTTGGGCCCTTCACTGCAAGAAGGACATTGAGGAGCTGGAGTATGTCCAGGGGAGGGTGACATGGCTGGGGAGGGGTCTGGAGCATGAGTCCTGTGAGGAGCAGCTGTGGGAATTGTGGCTGTTTAACGTAAAAAAAGGAGGCTCAGGGATATGTTATCACTCTCTATAGCTACCTGAAAGGAGGTTGTAGCCAGGCAGGGGTCAGCCCCTTCTCCCAAGTAATAAGCGACCTGACAAGGCTCAAGTTGCACCAGGGGAGGTTTAGATGGATATTAGGAAACAGTTCTTCGCCTACAGGGTTGTCAAGCATTGGAACAGGCTGCCCAGGGAAGTGCAGATGTGGCACTTAAGGACATGGTTTGATGGTGGTTGTGGCAGTGCCATGATAATGATTGGAATCAATGATGATAGAGGTCTTTTCAAATTTAAACTATTCTCTGATTTGAAGTGCTTGTTGGACTCATTTCAGTTAAATTGTGATAAAGATTATTCTGTGATTTCTGAAAAAGTTACTTTGCTTGAAAAGCAAGCAATAATTCAATAGTGCTGTCACTGCATATCCAACATTTGCTTCAGTGAAACATGCTTCTACTGCTCTAAAATCCTTATTAGGGGAGGAGGGGGGAATTGTCCTTCATTTCCCATTTACCACCCCCCCCAACCTGATGTGTCATCTTTTGTTATTCTTGTATGGTAAAGTAGCTGACATTAATGATTTTTCTATCATTTAGAGTTTAGGGAAGCGACTACACAAAATGCTGGCAGGATTGGAAAAATCATTTTATTCCACTGACACATACTCTATTGCATTGAAAAGCAATAAAACAAAGCAGATTTTGTGGCTGCCCTCAGGGGAGGTGAGTTGATCACACATCCCTCAGTTTAGGAATTTAAAGGACCACAGACCATGCAGTGCAATAGCAGAAAATGCCTTGTGAGAGTGCCACGCTCAAAGTATGTTTATGGTCCTCTGCAGGGTGAGCAGTCTGGGCTCTTCATACATCTTCAGTGACTGGTCTTTGAGGAGAGAGTGCTGCCAGTCACCAGGACCCTTTTCAAGACATATTAGTAGCAGCTTTGTCAGAGACAATATATTTCACTAAAATGGTCTGTTCACAGCAGCACAAAAGAGACAGAAAGGGGTAACCTGAGGAAAAGCAGAGACCATCTCAATTTATAGTATGAGCTGGAGAATTGACAAAAAAAAAAAAAACTAAACCAAAATTCTAAACTCAAATGGAGATGGTTAATGTTGCTGATTTGGCATTTTTTCCAGCAAGATTTTCTACACTTCTGCAATTTAAGAGATGAATAAATTCATCTGTGCAGCAATCCAAAATATTAATATTGTAAAGTGGTGAATATTGAGTCTTCGAGATCTTTTGATGCATGATTTTCTTCTACACAGAAAGATACATTAATATATTGCAATTCTTAGATACATGTAACTCATGCTGCATTTACTTAGATATTTGGAGTCACACTTACTTGAGTCAAGTTAGGAACAGAACTGACTCTTAAAGGATTTTCACACTTACATTGGTGTTGAAAAAGCAAAGCAATAAAAACCTGATTTTTAACTAAATTCTGGCCTCAAGGTACCATCAGTTCACATTACTAAATATTCATGGGAGATATGACTGCATAATAAAATTCAGTTGTTCATTTGTGGCATTATTTTGTAAAATTTTGAAATTTTTTCCCTTTCATTTACACAGAAAATATGTATACTCTTTAGGTCAGAAATATGTGACAGTTTGTCATTTGTTTCTCTGAGATTAATATGCTGTAATAATTAACAATGCTGGTGTTCCAAATAATAAATAAAGCAGGAACCCCATTAAAGATATGTTCCCATCTTATGGAAGAGGATTTACCTGCCTCTTTGACACATCTTGAGAAGACATTATGATGTGCCTCTTTGTCTTCAGAAGGACAAACAATTTAAAAAGTTATAGTAGCAACTTCATAGGAACTAACTTTGGTGGAATTAACAAAGAAATAATGTCCTACAGCAGCAGCACCATCAAATGTCTCCTGGGGGGATTTTGCTGCTCTGAGAAAAGATAATCCCTCAATGACTATTTTGGTATGCATAAATATGAACAGTGTTCATCCTCTCCCTACTACTCAGCATTCACTTGGTTTTGCTATTTTTTTTTCTCAAGTGTACTGGAAAGAATGATACATACTTTCCAATGACACTCATTCTTCCAGGGAAGAGTGAGTGGTGGGAAGAGACATCCTTATAATGGTGTAGAAATGTGGGGGAGGTTCTGAATACAAGTACCATGAGAATGGCTAACCCAATGAAAATACTGTCTAATGTTTGCATGGAGTGCCACAGTATTTTCTGTATGTAATTTATATATTTTTATTATATTGTTTCATATTATTTTTTATTTTATATCATTTTTCATGAAACTTTGACTGTGTTTCATGAAAAAGAGACATTTCTTAAATGGACCCACTGTTGGCATTCCTGTTCTTCTGCGTCCCTAAAAGAAACATTGTAGAAAAAGATTAGTTGTTGTCTTCTCTTAAAATTGCTATTCACATTCCCAAGACTTGTTTTGCACTTTTGAGGAGTACACTGCAAACTTCCTGATATACAGGTGCAATGGCCATGTATAGGATGCTGACTAAATCTGTGCAATAATAACGAAGCTTTCATTTTATTCTAATGTCATCCTTTAGAAATAAATGGCAAATATGCTTATTTCAATGCTTAGATGAACTTCTAACCATGTTCTCTGCTGTTTATATATTAACTGTCAGTCACAAAGTAAATTCTGAGCTGTTGGAATTGATTCAGTGGTTTATTTTCTTACTAAATTAGTAAATGTTTTTGTACAAAAGTATACATAAGGTCTGTACCTCCAGCAAATATTCGATGAGAAGTCTTAAAAAAGGAATCATCAGGGCTGAAATACAATATCTTACATCACTCTTTGCTGTCTCTTATTACTTACCAAGTGTCAATAAAGTCGTGTAATAGCAGGCTACATAAGCAAAGATGCTTTGAAAGACGTTCATGGGGATGTCTTCTCCTCACTAGAAGTTTAAGCGTATAATTAAGTAGTTTTCTTAAATAGACGTCTATAATTTGTCCAACCACTAAGCTGAGTTGCAGTAACTCAAGCTGAACCTTCTTTTTTATTTTCCTTTTTTGCTATAACTCTGTCCCCAAAAAACCCCAAAGCTCAAAAACAACAGAACAATTGTGCAACCTTAGCATCAATTTTGATAAGGGATAAAGCAGTTTGGGCCTTCCACCAAATTTATAATTTTTAATGTTCTGATGCTGTGAGGGTAAATTTTTTTGTTGAAGGCTTAAGAAAAATAAGAGACAGAAAGAGATTTATCCTCCTAGAAAATAAAAACAAAATATGGTTAGGCAACTGGCTTGAGATAAAAGTTCAGTTTCATCTCTCTACTGGAAGAGCATCACAGTTTTGCTGCATATTTTTCTTTTAATCTTTCTAGATTTGCTGTGAGTCTAAAATATTTAAATTTTCCTGACATATATAGTTCCTTAAGATTCAAACTAATGGAGTTAGAAGAGGAATGTGATGTGACACAGTATACAGATAGAGAACATTAGTCACAATTAAGCCTCTTTATTGAGTACTTATAAAATATTAATTTTGAAGGGCTGCTGCAGAAAAGATTTCTCAAAGTTCAAAAACAAAGTGATGAAAGAGAGGCAAAATCATTACTTGTATGCACCTTTTAAAAATGAAGCATATTTCAAAACATTTCAAAAATATGTCAAATAATTAAACTCCAACAAAGAATCAGGAACATGGAAAACCTTGATCATATCACGTTAGAAGAAACTATATTTGGGAAGAACATAGAAATCAATGTTTTATTTGTCAATTCCCCCAAGGGAAGACCATATTATGTGCTAAATATCTGGAATGTCATGAGCATTAATGTTAATTACTAAGAGAAGTCTTCCTCTCAGTGTGTGTCAGAACAATTACTGTTGAAAAATAAATTAAAATTTTATAGAAACCTAGGGAAAATTTATATGTCTGAAGTTGTTAACATTTTGCCTCATTTCTGTGCTTGAAAATACTGAGCTCCCATACTAGTCATGCACTGGTTTGTTTAAAATTCGACATCTAAACTTAGCTCAGCTAAGATCTAGGTGATAGATTTGGTGACGTTCCAAATTTTCAGCTGCAAATTGCATCTTTCCTTAAATTTTACATGAAGATAATTTCCCATAAGCTACTGAACCGTGCCTGCAATGACTTCCATTTGATTTATATTTGGATTTATGTTGTGTGAACTACAGTCCCAGACCTCATGTAACAATAGTAAGAACATTAGTAGTCCAGACAGCAGGACAACTTGGAACATCCCCTCTCTGTCCAAGCCAATCAGGGTACAAACATGATGGCCTTGATAGGTACATACTACTTCAGAATCAGTACAGGAACAAATTGTGACTGCTTGAATTTCATAACATGTTATTTTGGGCCACATTTTGTTTTGTTAAAAAAGGATTGTCAGTAGTTGTAGCAAGATAATACAATGTTGACTTTTGAATCCACATTACCTACTGTTCTTGACATTTAGTATTAGTTCTAAAGTGTGAAAAAATTTTTACATTAACAAGATTTTCTGCAAGATTATTGAATCTTTTGGCTTGAAAAATTATTTCAATAGCTTTGAAGATGAACTTTTAAATTCAGAACTTAGAATATTTACTCTTATCTGCTCCTAGCTTGCTAGTGAGCAAACCCTGTTATTAAAATAGGTCTCCATCAGTTAAGCTAAGTAATGTAAACTTTTTGGAGAAGGGAAAGGACTAATTCAATGTAATTCAATGACTTTTAAGTCATTGCCCTTGAAATGATACAACTATGAGTGATATATGTACATTTTATACAATATCTTTGTGCAGTGTTTCTAACAAAATATAATAGTTATTTGGTTTTGCTTTATTCCTTGCTTCTTGCTCTTGATGTAGGGATATCACCTTAAGGCGAGAACACCAATCTTTGTTAGGTTTGCATCTTTTTCTGCAATGTCTGTGTTCAGTTTCAACAACATAATTTATAATACTCTTATTAAAAAGTATTACTAACAATGTGTCTAAAAGTTTTTGAAGGTCTGAGCCAATTTCAATCTCATTAAGTGTAAACATATCATTTTAATAAAAGAGTATTATTGCCCTTTGGTCTGTAACAGAGGTCTACTTCTTTCCTTCATTTTCTTTCATTATTAGACCAAATTAAACTTTTCAGTAATATTTCATCCCAAAAATGCCTAATGTCTACTTTGTTGCATGGTTATTTTATTTCAAAAATCAAAGGAACCTGAAGTAAAGTTTCAGGGTGCTTCAGCAAATGCTGGTGGGATAAGGGCTTTTAGATTTTTGCAGTACAGTCTTTGCATGCACTAGGGAAATAACATTGTTTTCCTTGTACCTCAGATATTTTATGTGCCACGCATAAGTATTCTGACTAGAAATTAGAATAAATCATTCTATGTTTCTTATTAGAAACAGGTGATTGCAAACTTGATGTCTCCAGTTAAGGCAGTTAAATCCATGAGTTTTTAGTTCCTGACCTCTACTACTCAATACATTTGTCTCACATCAGAGTTTTTGTAGGCTCTTATCCTGCAGGGCAAGTGAAATGCAGCCCCATCTTGGTACTATCAAGATAATTTTGTACTTTCCCACGGGCTGGTGAGCTTAACACCTACTTGTGCCTTTGAAAAACAGTTTGCTATATACCCATAGCTACTGCATATATGAATTGTTACAAGTATAACTGTACTTTTAAACTACTTCTTATACATTTATCAAATTAAGTGAGGCTGATGATTGACTGTTTGCTTTTTTGGAGTTTTTTTATTACCTGTGCATGTTTTAAAGGGAATCCACTTTCTGAGATGACATTTGAAATTACTTTCCTGTCATCCAATCACACATATATACGGCTGCTGTATGTACATTTATTTACAAAACAATACCAGTTTAATGGTGAGAAATTTGTCCATGAAAGCCTGAATGTGGGTATGATTACTGTTCTGTTAAGTGCTATTGGAAAACTATAGCTTTTACATAAGTAATTGTTTGGAGTGATAGAAATACATTAAGCTGGAAAAAATAACAGAGGAGATTTGTCTTTTACTTACGCAGTAAAAGACTTTAGCCTTACTCTCTTCCTGACGGTAAATTGTCCTGCAGCCATTCAACTCATAAAATAATGACTTTATAGCTGTATTTTCTTTGAACTGAATAGTGCCTTACACTACAAGTGAGAAACAGTTCAAGGATATTGCTGTGGAAATTATACTTTTGAATTAGATATCTTAATTATAATATGTTTGAAATGCTGGCTAGTTTATTATTTTTTTAATATTGGAAAACAATGAAATATTGAAGAGCATTGTAGAAATGCAGCCTTTATCTGGGAAATCTGGTGCTACTGAAATAATCTTTTTTATTGCATGTGATTTAGATTTTTCAGCTTGATTTTGTGCAGAACATTAAATATTCTTAAGCAATAATTCCTGAGTTAAGTATCTCCATTAGGAGTTTACAGTTGCAATGAGATACATCTCATTGTGTGGAAAAAGAGTAAGATAGAAGAACTTGGTAGTATCAAAAAGGTAGCAATTTCAGTATCTTGAATTAAAAGAATGCCAACAGTCTTTTATATTTATTAGTTTATTATGTTCTATAAAATTATATATACCGATAATTACATGTTTTTATTAGGGATGCAGTGGCTATGATTTTTCTTCCATGTTGCTTTAACTGTGTGGTGCTGTTTCTTGCAGCTGGATGAAGAAACCTCGATGTGGTGTGCCTGACCAAACAAGAGGTAGCTCCAAATTTAACGTTCGTCGGAAACGCTACGCGTTAACAGGACAGAAATGGCAACACAAACATATCACTTACAGGTACCAAAGATATTCCTATAAGCATACAAATGTCACTAACAGTGATGACTTTCCACCTAAAGTAAATATAAATTCCTGAATGTTTTTCAATACTTTGAGAAGTTTATTATTACTGTACGATATTAAAGTGTTACAATGGATACATCCTATAAGTATGTATGTGCTGCATAAGAACCAAGTTTTTTTCTTGGATTAAAATTGCATGTATTTGGTAACCAGTAAGTTCTACAAAGCGTACAGCATCAATTAAACACCTGGTACTTCCTTAGGGTTACCTTTCAGCTTGGCAACTGCTCAGGGAATAATGCTCTGAATCTAGGAGTATGTAATGAAACTCAGATTTATAATTTAAATATGTAAAATAGGGTATTGAAAGGAGTCAATCTGTGCAAAATGTAGGTGCCTATGGGTCTGTTCTAAGTACCAATTAATTTGATTATAATTTGACGAGTCACTGACCCAACCATTTCCAGCCTAGGTGATGATGGACATAGGATTAGTGTCTGCATCTGTCTAACTCCTGAGTCCGGTACATAGTTAGCACAGTGTGCCTGCTGTCAAAACTGAGGCCTTGAAGGGAAAGTTAGATGGAAACTTCCAAGATATACTCACTAGAGCTCTGTCAACCAGAGAAAGTGTCATCATGTATATAATATAAAGTCCATAATCTGTCAGCAAACGAAGGATTCCAATACAAACTGTTGGAAAATTTACACAGCCTCATCATGGATTCCTGTAATATCTAACAGGGGTAAGTTCTGGGGGACAAAATAGTTTTCAAATTCATTATCTGGTGCCATTATTCATGAACCCATGCAAGTATTAAAGCTCAAAAGCCATAATTGTCATATAGACTGTTCTTCATGCTGTGGTGAACATATAGCTTCATTAGTAACCCTATGTCACTACTGTGGTTTATAACTGAATTAAAGGATTCTAGTTTAAGACATTACATTCTGATATAACATCAAGCAATAGACAATTTTGGGTTGGTATGTTGCTTTGGCTGAAGTCCTTTATTGTTAATGTAAATGTAATTTATAGTTGGTTAGAATAAAAATGCCCACCCACAGCATTTTATATCTATTTGCATTTTAGAATTTAAATGCAGTGTGTGCACACTTAGGAGGCATCTACTCATATGTGTGCTTTCCTACTACTATGATTTTTACAGTCTGATTCCCTATTTCATTACAGAATTTTTTACAATAGTCTAAATCCTACCCCTTGTATATCTTCTGGACTGTCAACCAAGACATTAATCCAAATAACAAATGAAGGTGTCCAGTATTAAACTAAGTGACAACTATCTAGTAATCTTTCTCACTTTGAAGAATTTATAGCAGTTCTTTATCTCCTGCCTCCTCTCTCTCTCACTTTGATAGACCTCCAGACGAACAGAGCTTTGAAGTGAATAACTGTAATATTTTTGGCAGTGAATTACAGTACAAAATACATTTAAAATAGAAACCATAAATTTGATTAGAATAAAAAATATGTTATATTATCTATTTGAATTGGAAAATAACACAAAGCAAATAAAGACAAAAAAAAAAAAAGAAAAGAACTAAGATTCTTTTCACATTTCTCACCAATTCCCTGCTTACAGACTTATGACATGTTAAATTAATGACATTTTAACCTGCTTTGTTTCCTAAAATTTTAATCATATCTCTAGTTTTATTTCTCCATTTTCCTGTTCCACTCCTCAGTTTCTTTATAACCTGCAGGTTTCCAGCTGCATTCTGTGCCTTCCTGGCCAGTTGAACCTTGCAGTCTGAAGTGTGCTTGCTAAGCCAGTTTACTAATTCCTCCACAGAAAGAGCAATTTCTCCTTCTTTTCACTGCATGCTACAGCTTACAATTTTTTGGAAACCAAAACCAAAACCATACAACAAATACTCCCAAAAGCAAGCTCCACCATTCCTTGTCCTGGAACATTTCCATATTTTCCATGTGTAGTTTTTCCATCTGAAACAGTTCTGCAATATTTCAAGATGGAGTTTCAAAGAAGCCACTTAAAATTACAATTATAATTAGAAGTTAGATTCACAATGTATTTTTCCCCATATTACATTTTGAACATTTATTATGTCCTTTTCACAACATATTAAATTTTGGACGTAGGTGATATTTATTCTTAGAATGTAATGTGTTTACAGACAGAAAATACAGAATCAAAATACAGATTTCCAGCATTGGAAACATCAGCATGGACTGCAATGGGATGCATTAATTATGCTTGCTCTCCCTCAGGGAATGCATCTTTCTTCTCATTTGAACTAATGTGTGATGTTTGTTAGAATTTCTGTTTCTGGTGAAATTACCCAGTTTACAGTATTTTTCTGCCTGGTATAGTTCATGCTGATAAACCCTGTGAACATTATTTGTACGTATGCTATAGAATAACACAACTTTTACAAATAAACAGAAAGTATTTGAAACTTTTACCAGACAGAAGAGTATAGGGGTGAAACAGAAGATCTGGGGTACAAGAAAATTATGACTCCATTACAGAAAAAGCTACAAAGATCTTATTGATATAGCCTTAATCTTTCCTTAGTATTTTAGGTTGTGTGAGGTTACACAACGATCTCTGAGTATTGTACAGAATCAGAGAAGAAATTTAAGAAAGCTATGAATGGATTTTTAAAAATTAATTTTTTTAAAAATATTTAAGGGGATATTTATGAAGGCACATATGATTCTCAAAAATATAGTCACCTTCTCTTTTGCTAGAAAAGTAAATAATCTAGTACTTTAAAGAAGGAGCAACACTGTGAAACAATAAAGTTATCACTTTTTAAAAATTGAGTATAAATGTTTATATGTCCAATTTAGACAGAGAAATATTGAATATGAAACACTCCTCATCAGAATTCTGTGCATAATATTAATAATTTGAACTCCAGCAGTCAGTCATTTCTCAACTGCCCAGATTATTCTATCTGCAAAATACTTTTGCAAGTAAAATTGGAGAATATTCTGTAAAAATAAAAGATTTGTCTTTATTTATAACCATGAGTTAGAACTTGTAACAATTTAAAATAAAATAATAATTGAAAAGCTACTCTGATTTGTTTTTTCTTGCTTATGTATGGAAAAAAACAAATTTAATCAATGAGCAATATGTAATAATTTAATTGGTGCAGGAAACTTAGCTGTAGATAGTCAATAGCTTCATCCCAAACCCACTATAAATAATTTCATCTTTTTCTTGACTTCAGTGCACAATGAGTCAAGCCCCAGGTAATTGTCATTTTTCTTTTACAAATTCGATATATCCTAGATTTCATTTCTGAAAGAAAATGAAAGATTTGAACAGGTCTAAGTTTATGCTGTTCAGATAAAGAATGAATGCTAGCTGGGAGCTTCAGTATGCAATGAAAAGTCTTATCTAGCTTGTTAGCAATAGACTATGAAATTTCTATAGTCTAAATGGTCCACATTGTGTAGAATATGGAGAGAGAATTTCTTTTTGGATATTTGAAATCCACTCTAAAAAATAAGGAAATACTGGATTAAGAAAAAACTTTGAAAATCAAATTTTGAAAATTTGATTCATAGTAGCAAATTTTTTTTTGAATGTATTAATAAAAAGTAATATTTAGAACACATTCCATGTTTATGTTGCATGCTATTGATTTTAGATTACCTAGTAGCATATTATGACATCAGATTTCTTAAAATAGCTTTCCTATAAAGACTTTTGGCCATCAAGTATTTTACTATTCTTGGGGTTTTGTCTCAGAAATCTCTTTCACATTTCATCTTCTTTTAGTGAATGTTCAGGAGAATGTTATCCATGAAAATGAAGAGACAAGATAATTATAAGTTCTTTCAATCATGGCAGCAGTAGGTTGAAAATCAAACCCACAGAAAATCAAAAGTAGTAATACTGGATTAGGTTTAATCAATGTGAACAAGACCTATGTGAACCAAGATAGCACTCTTAGTCTATAGCTACAAAGAGTCAGCAAACTGAAACTGGAAAAAGTTGAAGCTAAAAACCTTACATGAGTGAGAGATTAGTGAAGCAACTCCATAGAAACCAATTTCTAGGGAAATTACGGTGCAAAGTGAATATGTTTCTGGCCAGAGGTAGTTTATTGCTTTCAATAAAAGTTATAGCGTGATTAACAACCAACCAAGCAACCAAAAAAACCAAACCAACCCACCAACCCAAAATATCATGAAAGCAACAAACCTCCAAAGTTTTGCTTCAGTTTAGGTTTGATTTACATCAATGACAATAAAACGGTTGTGTGAACAACTTATTCAAATTTAATGTATGTTTCAATTCATTTTACTTGAACAGTTTCATATCAGGAACAGATCTTAACTAGCTTACTTCAAACAGATTATTGACTGCATCTTTTTACCTACTCAGTTGAAACTCCTGCTCTTTCATCTATTTAAATTTCAAATTACTGATTTTACACAGTCAAGTGAGGTATATCCTGACAATCTTGCAAGGCTCCTGAAGCTGATGCAGCCAAAAATATGTCAGTAAAACATGTATAGTTTTTCTTTTAGGATATTCTGGGAAAGGAGTGGGAAGGGAAGGAAAACCCAAAGCTTTTCTGAAATCAATAGGACTCAGGATTGTAGAATAACACTCTCAAAACAAGACTCTTCAGGCAGCTGTAGAAATAGTACATGAATGTGAAAAGTGCATATCAGTGATAAAATCTAATTGTTCTTATGGAAGACATGTATTTTAAAGTTATAATGCTTGATGCAACTATCAAGTTGAAAATCATGCAAAACCAATGATAACCACAAAAAAGCATAATCGATTGATACATGGCTGTGGTTGTCTAAAAATAACAGCTCTCAAAATTTATAAAAAGTACCACTCAGTTTATTAGTTCAGAGAAAAAGGCATGAAAATAAATGTTTCATCTTATAAATTGCCTTTTTTTTAGTAATTATAGGATCTTTAACCTCTTTGTAAAGTTGCACTGCCAGTATGGTCAAGGTCAGCTTTGGATCTTTCTCTCATTTGAACTTTGCTTTGAAACGATCACTAGACATTGAGGCTAGGAAAGCAATACTTTGAAAAAAGATGGATTTTTATTATGAAGGGCTTTGTCTTGCTATACTTTCACATTGCAATAAGAGTGGTTCTGCGTTGTTGCGTCCTACACTTACTTCTATTTGGGTTCCATTATCTGGACATGGTGAGTGTAAGATAACCAATTCCTGTCTTTTCTGTTTTATTCCTGTTGGATATACCACTATTTCAGGTGATTGCTGGATTTAAGTTGTGGATCTAAATAGGAAACCTTCATATGAGACATTATTTGCTATTGCAATTATAGGTCTAAACTGAAGACTTTTAAAAGATGAATCCTAGTATCTCTGTTAATTGACAGACTGTCTTTATGGATTGATTTTATTGTAATTCCCCCTTAGAGTTTGTATGGTAAACAACATGAAAGAAATGTAACATAGCTTGGGTTTCAGATATCTGCACTGGTGAATTATTTTAAGCAAAGTTCCCAGCAAGACAATTTCAATGCTTGTGTAGCTCTTTTAGGATTGAACCTGGATTGTGTTTAACACATTAAAAGTGGACAGTTGTTTCCTAGGATCTTGTCTAGGAATAACTGCTGATTTATGCAATTTCTCTTTCAAGCTACACTCTGGTTTTAATCTCTCTGGTTTTAGTACAGAAAATATGCTTTGAAAAATGATATTACTTGACAATGAATCTGGAGATGTAGAATGCTATTTCAAAATTAAGTCAATAGCTGGTCCCATGGAAAATATCTGCTATCAAAGGTAGGCTACTCTAGCTTGGGAGTGTGAAACTAGCCCAATGGTTCAATTCCTCATTTGTAATCTGATTAAAACTTAATTCAATGTGCTGGAAAAGCAAGAAAATGTGAAATAATAAGTTTTAATATTTGAGTCAAATCCTTTCAGACTAATCATTACTCAATTTAACACTAATACAAAATTCCAATCCATTTTTATCCATTTCCTCATTTCACATATAATAACAGAAGGTCCTTCTGTTTACTTAATACCAAAATGGGACTTTGACTAATTACTAAGATTCCTAAATACCAAAAAAAAAAAAAAAAAAAGTCTAACAAGGAAACAAATAGATAAAAAACCCCCAAAGCCTTAGCTGTTTATTTCAGATGAACTTTTTCTATATCAATATTTCAGTTTTTCTAGACATGCTCTATTTTCTATGGGAGCCTGTTGATTCATTTGCCATATTTCTTATACATGGCAAATAGCAGAGGCTCTAGTCCTTCACAGAGCTCTGCTTCAGGCAATTCACGTGCCTTAGGGAGCACACAGCAGGACTGACTGGGAGCACATCTGCCACCTTTGTAAGGGATATTCTTAGCATAGCAACAGGGAAGTCTTTGGTAGTGGCAGTATAAGTGTGCCACTGTGATGTGGTTTTGATTTTGTGTCACAGGACACGTTCCAAAATGCTGTACTTTCTCAGGGGGCACAGACAGCATTTTATGAACTTGCTAATTAAAACATCTCAAAAAAACCTAAGTCTCAAGGGCAGGAGCTTTCAGAGAGGGGTTCTGCAAGGGCTGATTGTTGGTACAGTGTTTTTAATCACAAAAAATGCAATGCAACACTGACCATAAATATACTGATGACCAAATAATTATGAAGAGGCATGATAGAAACACTTTAAATCACATGACATTTACATCATGTAGAGTAAGGTCATGCCTACAGATCAGAGGGTATTTTCTCTCTGACAGCAAGATCAGTACTGCAGTACTTTTTAGGTCTGACAGAGCCAGTTTTAAAAGAGCATTAGAAATTGGTTAAGTTGAATAAAAATCACTAGAAAATATTCAATTGACTGGAGAAAATATCTTATAACCTGAGATTTAAAGAGTTCAAAATTTTAATTGCTTAGAGACAACAAAAAGATAATGGCTTTGCAGTGCAGAAATGTCTTTTAAATGTATTTGTGTATAGGGGGAAAATTTTGAAGCTCATTTATGTGACAAAGAAAAATAGAATGAGAACCAATAATATAAGCCAGGCAATTAATAGAATAGGCACAATTATGAATTGATTGGTTAAATCACCTTTGGAACAAAAGATCAAGGAAAACAGTGGATTCTCTACAATGTATTGTCTTATGGTTTCTCTTGATATCTCTTTGGAACATACATATCAGTTAAAAAATTATGATTTGGTTAGATAGCACTATTGGACTCAATACATTCAAATAATTTTGAGTGGAAGTCCAAATATGTATCTTTATGTTTTCTACATAAAGCTATGAACAAAATGTATATATGAAGTAAAATCTATAAAATTACGCTTGAAAGATTTGTTTCCATTTATATAAACATAAATACCATATAATCAAGCACATTTAATGTACCAAACAAATCAATCATTCAAAGTTTATTCATAACAGTATATTTGTTCTCCTTTAATGTCCCATGCTGTGCAAACTGTCAAAAATATTACATATACTCTAGAACTATGTAATTTCTGAAATTTGTGCTGGATGTTCAGTCAAGCACATGTCAAATGAACAAAGAAAGTCTTATTGCAGCAGTTTCAGAGCAGACACAAACCTAAAAGAGTTTTTGCTGCCCATATGAATCCAGTAGAAATGATGCAGAAAATTGGATAGGTCTTAAATTGATTATTGACATTCATTTCTTGAATTCAATAATGAAAATAAAGATTTTTTTAAAGATATTTTCACTATAATTTACTAACTACGAGAGTAATCTTCAATTCTTATATTTTTTTGCCTTTTCATATATGTGTAACTTGAAGAAGTGGTGAAGACTGAAATTTCTCTTTAATATATATTCCTGAGTAAGCACATAATTGTCTTCTATAAAATTATTTCTCTGATGGATTCTGCAGTGTTATGCAAGATTTACAGATGTAATCAGATCATCAAAGGACATCTTAGCCTGTTCTGAAGTCAAAAGGCTTTGTTTCTGATAAGGAATTTATCCAGTTGCAAATGCAACAAGGCTTTGTGAATACTGGTTGGTGGTCGCAGTATGGAGTTCTGCTTTTGTAAATGAACTCAATAATAAGTAAGAATTTCATTTCACTAAAAACATTTTTTCTTTTGATCAGAAAGAACATGACATTCTTTAGCTCTGATGGATTCTAATTGTGGTCCAGGAGGTAAACAGTCAGTGGTTGATTAATCTGGTTATCCCACTGTTAAGAATTTTTCATTTTAATATATTTTAAATCTTCTAAATATAAGACTTTTTGTACTGCTGGGAGTAAGCCAGCTAACATAATAAGTTCTAGCTTAAAGGACTTTACAAATTGACACCATAATTTTGCACCAGCTTGTTTAAAACTACTCTTCCTAAAGTATAAAATGCCTGTATAGCATGTCTTATTAAAGGCACAGAGCATATAATAATTAAGGGAAAATGGATATTAGCAGTGTCACTCTGTTAAATTTAATCTGTGTAATGTTTCTCTGTTTCTTTCAGCATAAAGAACGTCACTCCAAAAGTAGGTGATGCTGAAACCCGTAAAGCCATTCGCCGTGCCTTCGATGTGTGGCAGAATGTAACCCCTCTAACATTTGAAGAAGTTCCTTACATTGAACTAGAAAATGGCAAGAGAGACGTGGATATTACAATCATTTTTGCATCAGGTTTTCATGGAGACAGTTCTCCCTTTGATGGGGAGGGAGGATTTTTAGCTCATGCATATTTTCCTGGCCCAGGAATTGGGGGAGACACTCATTTTGACTCAGATGAGCCATGGACTTTGGGAAACCCCAATCATGATGGTAAGAGAAGATTTAATTTTAAACAAAATAGATGAGTGGCATGAATTTTCAGCTAATAGAACTACTTCCCTGTTCCCCTGTTCCTAAAGTCACATGGTTTTCTTTCCTTGTTTAACATTACTTTAGAAATATATTTGGTTTATCTGTCTCTTTGAATCTAAGGCAGAAAAGTATCTGCCTGATGGTAATACAGTATGAAAACATGTTTTACTTGAAAAGCATTGAATTCTTATTAGGAAACTTCACGATCATTCAAACATTGTACTGGTGAATATTTACCTAAACTACTTCAGTTTTGCATATTTTAACATGTCAAACTTATTTAGCTTTAGGGGAAATGTGGAATATTTAACAGTGATATAAGAACTACTTCAGCTATCCACCAATTCTGTGGACATAAAATGGACATAAAACCTAGTCTTCAGTTTGCATCTTTGATGATGCAATGGCAGGATTTAAAGGCAAATCTTAAAGATGCCATTCCAAGAGCAGAATTGGTGTTTCTCAAAAACTTTTGAATGTCTTTTGGAATTGTTGATTTTAACATGTCAAATCTAATTAAGTAGCACATTCCCCACAGTCAAATGAATGACTGCACAGTGCAGTATGCACACCTATCATTTACCAAATAAAGACTAAATATACCCTTTATTCTTCATGACTAAAAACTGGCCATTGCCAAGCTCTAAGGTGATGTGACTAAATTACTGCTATTATCTGTGAATGCTAATTAAAAGCTAAGTCTAATTTTGCATCTCTCCAAAACAGTATCAAAGAAGAGATTTTCTGTAGACATATTCTGTGTTTGATGCTGTGGCAGGTTTTGTTTCCAAGCAGCTTCAGTTGTCCTAGTAGATCCCTCTAAGCCAGTTACATGAAGTTTGAGACATGTCTTCAGACACACACAAATAGGATGTTTCTGGCATACAAAAGACTATAGAGACCGCAAGAAGTGGAAAACTGTTGTATTTCAATGTTACACTGAATTTATAAATAATGAGAGGCTTTATCTAATTCCTTTTCTTTCCCCTTCTCACCTGAGATCCTCCAGGAAAAACTCAGAGCTTTTTATGTTGCAGTATTTGTAGCCTGGGGTCTGCAACAAAACCTTAATTTGGCATTTTAGGAGTATAAATATGGTGTTGTGACTATTTCATTGGTGCAATACTTCTGCTCTGCTGGAGTCAATTGAAGCAAGAGGTGTGTAAGGTACTGTAAAAGCCCTCAGTTGTGCAATGTGTTCAAGACGCTTCATTATTGTGAAAAAAGCCCTAAATTCTTACTGGAGCAAAAACTGTGGTATTGCACAGCTCATATTTGCCTTCTTCACACGTTTAGCTCAAAGGAGCACTGGTGGGAGTCCTCTGTTTGTGCAGTTCGGGTACATAGTCAGACATAGCATTGTGAGGGTAAATGAAGGTGATTTTGTGTGTCTGGTTTTTATGTTGGTTAGAGACCAGCACTGGACATAGTGTTCATTGTTTTTGGAGCTCTTGTTTGAAGCATTCAGGAAAATCTACAGGCATGTGTACATTGAAGTCAGGATGTTAGTTTAATTGGGATAACTCTTTTGGAGCAGTTCCACACCTTGTGTGAAAGTGAATGAACTTCTGGCTGTCTCATTCTTCTTTAACTTAAGCAATTTTCATATTGTCTAATGGCACTTATTTCTTTATAGGGCTTTTGAGGTTTGTGTTTTGTAGAACAGTTTTCAAAAGCTATTGCTTGTATTAATGTATTTTAATATAATGTGATGAAAAAAATCAAGGGAAAGTAAATTGATGCTATTACTAAAATTGTGATTTTATATATCTTAGAACTTTGAACTTTTATAATAAAAAGGTTTACTATCTATATCACAAATGTTTAAGAGTTATGACTGGAAATTTTTCTGAAAATTTAATATCTTATGTACTTTGATGTGCTTATATAAACTTTTTTGAGGGACATTCCTGATAAAATGGAATATTAAATGTAAAAAATTGAAGACTTTTTGAAAATACATGATAATTAATAGAAATATCTTACCAATGCAAGTTCTTTGAAGAATTTTGGCAACTGTTGGTTTCATTGTTGATATGGTAAGAACTGTGTCGTAGGTCATAGTTGTTGTCCAGAGAAAACTGCCCATCATTGTAACCCTAGAAAGATCAATTGATGTGCATTCCTTCTGAAAATGCAGGGCATCTGTTTGTCTGATTGGTGACTTTTAGTTATTAGGTAGGCTAGGTTTCCTCATTGTCTTATTAATTAGTTTATATCTAGGAATTCTGGAGGATCATGCAGGTTTTGGGGTTTTTTTGGTTTTGTTTGGGTGTTTTATTGTGGTGGTTGTTGTTGTTGGGGTTTTTTTTTGGTTGTTGTTTTGTTTTTGGGTTTGGTTTGGAGTTTGTAATTTGTTTTGTTCTGTTGTTGTTTTTTTTGTTTGTTTGGGTTTTTTTTGTTTGTTCGTTTTTTGGGGTTTTTTTGTGCCTGCGAAAAATTTCCAGGGGGAAAAAGAAGACAAGCGCAAGGAAAGAAAGACTTACAGCTCTCTTAGGCTTCCTATAATTTTGAGCTGAGTCTCAGAACACTGAAAAGCAGAAGGTTGAAAAGTATATATGTGATCTTAGCTATGAGTCATTTTTCCCAGGTGAGTGGCAATTTTAAGATTCATTGTTCCAATAGTCCAATAGACACCTTCTTGTAGCATTATTGGAAATCCAATAGAATGGGAAAAAGATTTGATGATTTATTTTTATTTTTAAACTAACCCTCACCCCAAGGGGCTGATTTTCTCTGATTCCTATTCCAGTATCCCAGAGAGATTCAAAAACACGGAGCAACTTGTTTACTTAGCAGCAAGAATGCAAAAATAAGGTCCTTTTGAAAATCCCTAGCCTCATTCTTCACCTTGTACTATTCTAATGAAAACAGTTTATATGCCATCTACCTCAGAAAAGACAGGCAATTTAATGGAATGCTTTCATAAACTGTTGTCTTTATAAAGTAGTTTTCATTCCAAATAAGGAATCATATACAAAATCAGTATTCTGAGTATAGTTAATTACGACAGCAATTTATTCTGACTACTTAACTGTAGTGTCTTCATACTTCAGGTTTTTGGTTGATTTGATGGGGTTTTTTTCTTATCACATTTTGTCAATTTTCTTGTATTTTCTTTTGTTTAATCATACTCTAGACTCCAAAGACAGTTGCAATAGAAATACATCATCTCCAAAGCTCATTACTGCTTTCCTTTATTCTCACTTCAATGGTATGTTCTTATCAATCGTGTTCTCTGAAGAGATTTGTGCTTTGACTCCTCCCTCATCCTGAAGAATGAATGAGGCTTTTGTAGGACCAGAGACTAATGGGCCTGTCACTCAGGAAAAAACCTCCTGTCATACAGTTTTACACTTGCAGGCTTTCTACAAGGATATAGTTCTTTGCTTTCATAATACCCTGTAAGCAGAGTACAGCCGGTACCTCAACTCCAGCTGAGCTGTGGAGGGCTTTTCTCTGAATTTCCATCCATGGTGCTGCAGGTGATCCTAGAAATATTGCCAGAAAGAAGGACAATAGACTTAGTATCACAGGGAAGCAGTGGAAACAAGGACAGAATTTCTTTTGCCCGTGAATGAGGGAGATATGGAGGATAAAATATGGTGCACATTTATTTTCTTTTTTTTTCTTTGGTTTTTTTTTTTATTTAATAAGGAAAGGGAATGCTATTTTTTCAACATTTTATGCAAAGTGTGTGTATTCGACTGTCATCTTCTTTCAGTCAGTTGTCGTCTTCTAGTTTCCCATTTAGCACAACTACTTTTCAAGTTCCCAAGGGAGTAGGCTGTTTCACTTACAGCAGACTCCATTTCCTTTTTGATCTCCCTATCTAGACCTCAGGTGAGATAAGAGCCTTAGGTTCTTAAATTGTTTGGAGCAGGATGGTTTCTTCATGCACCTTACGAAGTATCTTGTGCTCCTAAGCAGTCTCAATTGAAACTCAGGTTATTCTTATAGTGCTTGGCAAATACAGCAGAAGAACAAACACTGTTCAGGAACAGCAAATCAAAATGGATGGGATTTTACAGGAAAATGTTTCACAATATGTGCAGTTAAAATATAAAAAGGTAAAGGGACAAACAGGAAATGGAAATCATGTTGCATAAGTAGATATCTGAAAAATCATCACTTATTGGGAAAAAAATTTAAACCTTTACTTTCTTTTGAACTTAAAAACTGTAAATAAAACAAACAAACAAAAAAAGTGAAGAAAAAAGTAAGAGGAAGAAATCTTAATATACCAGCCTTGAAACTAGGGAGGAATTTCCTTGTTCCCATGACTCTAATCCATTTAGGTGAAAGATATCCCCTTATTGTTTTTAAATTTAAAAATTATGGACAATGAATGATGCATCTAAATCCAGAAACTGACAATGACTTCTTCCTAGGAGTGGCAGTACTTTGGAGATATTGTACTGTCAAAACTCTCAACAAAAATATTTTTCAAAGTATTTTCTTCAGTGGCAATATTTCAAATGACTGTGATGAATTTCAAAGTCACTGCCAGGGAGCATCTCAGATAGGTACTGTCTCTGTAAATGTTCTAGTAGCTTGAAGCAAAATCCTGTCTTACATCCTGTTTTTCTGTACCAGAACTGAAACTGCCATCTTATTAGCCTTATTGCACTGGTTCATCAAAATTGATTTCACATTTGTCTGTCTACATGTACTTAAGTTAGTTTAAACCTTTTTTAAAGCAGTTATTTTTTTCTGGGATATTACTGAATACATCTAAACCTATTTAAGGGAGTGTTAAACCAGTTTAAATTGAGAGTGCACTACATTTAATTAGATTAATTTAAGATTGACCTACTTGCACAAGTGCAGCTTTTTAAAAAATGGCAAGATTTAGAAGTGCTTGGGGAAAACAAGGATTTCTTGGGAGCTTAGTTTTCAGGCACATTAGACATGATATATAATGTACCAATTACTGGATAAAATGTGACCACAGAACT